ACCAATAAATAATATAATATTTCTAAATTTTTTATAACTTCTAAAAAATATTTTTTACAAAAAATAAAAAAAAAAATACTTTTATATAAACCAAGCTAAAAAAATTTTGAATTGAAATTATTTTCTGTTAATTAATTTTTTAATAATAAATAAATTAAAAAAATTAAAAAATAACATAAAAAAATTACTTTTCATTCAAAAAACACAACTTAACTTCTTTTTTTCTCAATAACTTAAAAAATTAAAAATAATTTTTTTAAAAAATACTTTTCATCAAATAAACATCTTTTTATTTTTATTTTTTCGATAACTTTTTTCTTCTACTTTCTTTCTTCTTCTTTTTTTTTCTATCAAAATTGATTGTGCAGTATTTTAAATATGAAACGAGGTGTGTTATGGAACGAAGAACATTAAAGCAGAGAAAGTTGCATGAGGGTCCCTCCCTCAGCTATAATAATTGATTGATGGTCGGTGGCACCGTGGCAGCACCTTCCACGATCCACTACTGTCAATTTGTCATGCCATGGCTAATAAAAAGAAACACTTTCGCTTCTGTCGGCATATTGTATTTAGTTTAACTTTTTGCAGCTTTTTCGTAAATTTATCACTACATTTTTACCCACAGAACATCCTGCAAAGGCCTAACATGCATTCCCCACCTTAATCTCAGTTGATTTCTCATCAAAATTACCAAGGTTGTTTGAATTTAGTTTGACATAAAATCAACTCTTAATTAATAATTAATCTCATAAATAATAATCTCTTTTTGATCAGGTAAATCTCATTTTTTAATTATTAACTTTAGTTTTTTTCACAATTTTTACTTTCCTCATCTTGTGGAATTTATACTTTACAGTCACATGCAACCATTATTCCTGATTAGATTATCACAAATCACTAAATATTTATTCAATTATTAGTTTTTAGTAATAATTAAAATAAATTACAAATAAAAAATCACTCATGAACGGAGAAATGTTAAAAGTTCAATTATCATAAGTTTTACAGCCGTGCCTAAATAACAATGAAAAAAAAAGTTATTAATGAATATAAATGTCTAGTTAAATTAAAAAAATTATTAATAAATATTAATATCTAAAAATAAAGAAATAGTATTGAGCCCGGGATAGAAATAAATATCGTGTAAAACTGGTTATCTAAGAATAAGTAAAAGTAGTTTTTAAATTGTTTGTTATTTATAATTATTTAAAATAAAAATGATATGAAAATATAAACAATTATTATATTAGAAAATTTTAATTTAAAAAAAAAACATTTTTAACCACTCATTTAAATTTTATTTCTTTAGAAGTTGTGATTGAGGTTGAGGTCTCATAGAATTTAATTATAAATAAAACATAACTGTAAAATTTTTTTTTTTAATGAATTTCATACACAAAACTAACCTCTAAAACCGATAACCACATTGTAGAAAATGAAGTAAATGTTTGTGATTGTATTTGGAAAACACTTTTAAAATAATTTAAATTATTTTATTTTTATTTTAAATTAATATATTTTTGATATTTTAAAATTATTTTAAAATATTAATATTAAAAATAATAGTAAAAAATTATTTTTATATATTTTAAAATAAAAAATATTTAAAAAAATAATCACATACATTTTCTAACATTAAAATAAAGTTTGTTTTGAAATGATGAGATACGGTTTCAAATTCAAAACAGGGGATTCCTCCCTCTTTTGATTGATTGCAGCTGGCAGCATCTTCCACGAACCAAGGCGAAGAAAATGACCCTTCCTTCTTATCTTGCGTGTTCAAATCCATCTAAGCGTGTTGACAAATTTAAAGCAGGGGGTCCCTCCCTCTCCCTATATCCTCTTGACACGTATAATGAATCCAAGAAAGGAGTGTTAGTTCTCAGTACGTAGACTTTATTTATTAAAAAAATAAATAAACTTATTGGCTTCTTCACTCAATAGAATATTTGTCTTGCAGCAGCTTTTTATTTAGCTCCTTGTGATCAAAATTACGAAGTTATTTCTTTGTTATTTGTCTTTCCTTTCAGCTGTTTTTTTTTTAAATGTTATTTATTTTTAATCTTTTTATATTTATTATTATTATTATTATTATTATTATAGTAAACTAGGTCAAGGATGATAGCCATTTACAACCACTAACCATGTTCATCTATTTATCTATTTTAAAAATTACCAATGAATATTAATATCCGGTTAAATTAAAAAAAACTATTAATAAATGTCAATATCTCAAAATATAGAAAAAATATTGAGCATGGGATGGAGAGAAGTATGGTGCCAAACTGGTTATTTGAGAGTCGATAATATTATTTTTTAAAGCATTTATTATTTATAATTATTTAAAATAATAACTATGTAAATAAAAAAATAATTATATTAAAAAAATTATTTAAAAAAAATAATTTCAGCATTTATTTAAACAGGGATGAAGAGAAATATGGTGTGAAACTGGTTATTTGAGAATAGATAATATAGTTTTTTAAAGTATTTATTATTTATAATTATTTAAAATAACAACTATATATAATAAAAAATAATTATATTAAAAAATCTAATTTTTTTAAAAAATAATTTCAACATTCATTTAGATTTTGTTTATTTTTTAGTTATTTTTGTGATTGCGGTAAAACAAATATAATAAAATATCAAATCAAACTACTTTTTATATTGCAAGACTCACAAAAGAATTGAGTTTGAAATATGATTCTTGTGAAATAATTTTTACATGTTTTTTTAATTGAGTTTTGTAAAATTTTATTTATTTTTATATTTCAAAAATACTTTTTAAAAAAATTAAAAATTTTTATTTTTTATTTATTTTAAATTGATATATTTTTTATATTTTCATATCATTTTAATATACTCATATTAAAAATAATTTTTAAAAAATAAAAAATATTATATGATACATTTTTAAATAAAAAAACATATTAAAAAATAATCACAACCACACTTCTACTAAATATTTAATATATTTTTTTTACTATTCATAAACTCTAATTATAAATTTTTTTAACAAACATTTATCTAATTTTATTAACTATATATTTTGTTTTTAAATTACAAGCATGAAAATTACTTTAAAAACAAATACAATGGTTGAAGATAAAATGAAATGTGTTTTGGAATGATGAGATACGATTTCAAATTCAAAAGAGAGGGTCCCCCCTCTTTGATTGATTGCAGCTGGCAGCATCTTCCACGAATCAAGGCGAAAAAAATGACCCTTCCTTCTTATCTTGCGTGTCCACTAAGCCTGTAAGAAAGTAGTGTCAGTACGCAGACTTTATTTATTAATAAAACTAAATA